CCTTTGAAATGAGCGACTTGCTTCTATGAGCGATGCGGAGGGATGCTCAAGTTTACAGGGGAGAAGCTCCAATGTTGCCCGCACGCTTTGAACGCAATACAAGAAGGGAGGTTTTTGTTTGTTCTTTTTCTTTTTCCGAAATTTGGGGCAGAGGATGAGGGCCAGAGGCAAATCTCGCTGGGTCACAGAGGCACGGTTAGAGTCTTCAAAGCAGGTGGAGCTGTTGAATAGTTTGTGCCAAGGAAAGCTGTTCAATCCGACCAGATCTCTCCGGAACGAGTGCTTGGCATCGAGCTTCACAGCCACTACTTGCAAGCAGCCAGCTGTCTCCCGTATGCTTTGGATAGATCGGTTCCGTGGAAAATGCAAGGCTTGAGGAAAGCGTCCGGGGAATCAGTACCCTTTTTGGAAAGCCCCTTTTTGACCACCTCCCTATAAACCATCTAAGGTGTGAAGCAAGGCAGCCTTTGAACATGGAAGTGTGGGGTTCCCCACTGACACTCCATTTGCCCTCTGTGGGGGAGACTTGATAACTGCACTTGGGACCTTCACGCCTTGCTAGGGTAGGGGGGGAGCATGCAAAAACGAAAGCGAGGATTGCCAGCGTCTCGCCCTAGGCTGGATGAGGCCGGAAAGGAAGAGGCTGAGCGCAAGGACCTGGACCTCAGATCGAAAGCGTCGGCATTGAAACCGGTGTTTCCTGCAACTTTTGCAGACGTCTATCGCTTCGGACTGAAGCAAAGGAGTGTCCTGAGAGCCCAGGGATTCTTTGTGGCCATGGCAGGATGCCACATCACGTGAGTCACTGACAGTATTGCGGGCTTCTAAGGGTTTGGGAAGAAACAAGGGACACCAAGTTTGCAACCCATTCGTTCCTTGCCTTCTTGGGCAAGCATGTTCATTTTTCTCCTTGGCTCCAGGTGCGAGAGGAGGCTGAGGAGGAGCGAGAGGCGGGTCTGGAGCTCGCGGGCGAGGGGATTCACGTTTTGAGTGTTTGTTCGTTCTTGACAGGGAAACCAACTAACAGGGATACAGGGGGAACCAGGGATACGGGAGGACTCCCCCTAAATGCACCTTGATTAAGTTTGATATGGGCTCCTCCTTCTTTTTGAGGAAACGTATGTAAAGAGAAACCGATGGAAGCCGCCACCAGGCCCGACGAGCCTACCCAAAGGGTGACTAATGAGCACAAATGCTTCCAACATTATGCACTACCCCCAAAATGGAGAAGGGCGCCTAATGAGGTACGGTCAAAACTATTGGCCAGGGGACTCCCCAAGTTTCGCACACCCTCTTGGGAACAAGTCACTTTGCTGGATCGGCAATCCCAGGAACAAAAAAACGGGCCCCCTCATAGCAGCAATCCCCAGACAAAATCCACAATTCTTTATCAACCATGTGTTTGGCCTTGTAGCTGAGTCCTCAACCAATACTGAATGCTAAGACTTTCTAGCCTGTTCCACGCAGAACCAACTTTGAGCCGATACTGCAGCAGGACTAACGCATGCGACGGTTTTACACAGCAAGCTCAACGAATACTGAACCAATACTTGGACCAATGCGAAACACTATACTCGAAAGGGACCAGATTTGCCCCATGCCTTTATGGATTTGGCCCGTTAAAGCAAAAAAAGAAGAGACAAAGCAACCGTTGGGGGCGCTTTGAAAAGGAAGCAGCTGGTTCAGTTTGGATTACCTCGGATGACTTTTTGAAAATGGACCTAAAAAACTTGGCTGAAAAGTTACAGAGGGGACCCACAACCTCCTGGTTCCTTCAAGTTGAACAGCAGGCCATTTCGGTATTTTTTGGGTGCAACCAACCCCCCGACTTCCACCAAGAAAGCAAGAGATTCAAATGACTATATGGGTCAAACTAAAACCACTAGACGACCGCAGGTTGAGTCCTTGTTTCCATTTACCAGGGTCCCCTGTTGGGCACGCATTTTCGACCCACAGCCAACTATTCAGAGAGCAACACATCTCGAGCACCAACGTCCCAGACCCTCCCCGCCGCCCCCCCGCCCAAACGGAACCCAACGGAGAGAGGCGCAGCTTGCGGCCTCCAAGCTCGCAGTGCTCTTCGTGGCACCTCCGTTCAATCCAAGCCGTTCGGGGAGGTGGCAAGGGGGTCCTTGTAGACCTGAGTGGGAGAAGCAACAAGTCGCAAGCTGGAAGCAAGAAGTGGGGGGGGTTCGCTCCAGTGATTTGATTTGCGCAGTGCTTTCCAGCATGTGGGTTGAAACGGTCGGCTTGAACGTGGATGGACAGGACGTTTGTTTGTTTGCTTGTTTGTTTGTTTGTTGCGTTCACCATGGTGCGCGTGCTTGCTAGCTACTGTCATTTTCCGAGCTTAAGCCATGCCGGATGCATGTAAAGCTTCCTTTCAAAGTCCACAAAGCCCGCAACTGGCAGCGCATGTTGGGAAGTGGCGTCCCAGGTGTCGCCGGAGTCCTATGCCAAGAGCGCGAAGGTGGCAGACAAGGCAAACCGGTACCCCTGAGCCGCATGAAATGGGCTGACAGTGGTACTGTAGAATCAGGGAGGTATCCATGGTCTCCAAGGGTTGGTGGCTTAGGAAGAGATAGGAAGGGAATGTGGTTTGGGACAAGGTGGCTGCTTGTCAATGGAAGCAACGCCCGCGCAAATGGCGTGGAGTATGGGTGGTTTGTTTTCGTTGCGGCACTCAGGGTTACGACCGCCAAGACACCCAGAAGTTTGCATAGGGAATTGATTTGTATACATATTCGCCTGGAACGTGTTGGCTGATGCCAATTCCGCACCTTCAAGCGCCCTTCCGTTACTCACACATTGGCTGGGGAGCACTTTGGCTCAGTGCTAACCAAGATGGAGCTTTGCCGCACCAACATGGTTTGGCGGGGTCCCTTTGTCTGGTGGATTTTCAGAAGGGGCCTGTGTCTCCAGCAAAACTGCGCGGTCTAGCACAGGCGGAAGCAGATTCGTCGCGTAAAGCGGATCTGGTGACCTCGCGCATGCGCAATTTAATTGGACGCTTTGTCATGTGGACCTGCGTGACAGTTATTTTACCAAGTTCTGTGGCGTGGATTTCCGCGAGCACCGTTTACCACGTTACTACAGCTTGTCTGAACTGATGGGTTTTTGGTGCCAGTTTGCTTTCAGGCTGCTGGAACAATCATCAACTTATTGGTGACCCGACCCTTTCTCTTGCGCTTAGCTGCAGCCAGGTCATGAAATTGTGCAAAATCTCGGGTGCCCGCTGCACCGTGGCAGGAGGGAGGGACCTGCAGAGTCGGCTTTGGGTTCAGAAGTTGGTTGCTTGATCTGGCAAAGCCTCCTTCTGTGCTCAGGGATCTAAGATGGTTTCGACTACCTGAAAACCACTACCCCCAGAGGAGAATGGGGATTTACACAAATATACGTAGACAAATTAATATAGATATATAGATATGCATAAGTTTTATGTGGCGGCTGTATATGTGGTTAGCCTGTTTCCTCTTGGGGTAAGAGTTGGGGGGTACTTGAAGCGCTCGAGGAAGGCCTTTGCCGAAACTCAAACTGAGGCTGTCCTTTGGCTGGTTGTTGCCCCCGGGATTTGTCAGCATGTTAGCTTGTGCAGATTCAAGAGCGTTTTTGGTTTGGCATTCGCCAGGTGCTCGCGCTCCAGTCACTTGTGCGCAGATCAAATCCAACTGATTCCTTGGCATTTATACCCGTTACCGTCAGGGCTTTTTGGCCCCCAATCCCCAACTCCCACTGGTTCAGTTTCGGTCGAACCCAGTGCAACCCATTTTGCCAAAAAGACCTTGAGTTCCAAGCCTTTCCGCTCCCTTGTTACGCGGTCGACGCACAGCTTGGCTGGGCGAATCTGCGGTAGCGTTGCCCATGGAGCTCCCCTCTGATCTGAGAGTTGGCAGGAGTGCTTGTTTGGAGTGCTAGGCAGATTGTCTACCCCAGGCATTATGCCTTTTGAATGTTGCACCACAAGCGTATCGCTTCACAACCCAAGGAACCAGCCAGACGTCACTCGCATCTCAGGTTCAATGGTTCCGTCCCCCGACGTCCTGGTCTACACCTTGGCCCGCTTTGCCGAGGAGAAGTGCCGGCCTCAAAGCGGACGCCGAGGTGAGGTTCTGTTTGGATCGGACTGCACCAGTTCTGGCGAGGTCAACAGGTCAATCGAGCTAACACCAAGAGAGATGCCTGTAAAAGAAATGGAGCAAATGCGCTTGTTCTTGTAGTTTGCCCTGCTATGGGGAAACGGCTCTACCGCCAGCATCAGTCCAAACTCCAATTTGGTTTTCCAGAGAATCTGTATGCGCCAAGGAGCGGTGTGTCAGTGACCTGGCACCTTCTGGAGCAGCACATGGAGAATGGGAGCCTTGTGCTTCGCAGGACCCATGCCCTCTTTACACTGGTGGAGGTTTTTGGGGCTGGCCATGCTTGCCCACCAAGTCTTCCAAAATCCTCCATGATTGGAGGGAGAGCACCGATTGATGTCTCCCAAAAGCTGCAGATGCCGCAGTTGAGAGGCAACGTGGCAATGCCTGCCCCATTTTTAATCTTGTCCCGTGGAACCGCACGGAGATGGGTGCTGCAATTGGGCCCCCACGCTTCCGGTTTGGAAACAGGAGACAGGTTTTAGCCACAGAGTTCGCAGAGTGCCAGAAGGTTCACTGGTCACTGGGCAGCTAGGAATAGGAGGTCCCAGTACCTCAATAACTTCATGGGAGCGCAGTTTTTCAGTGAGTTGACTCTAGGTGGGTTGATCTGCGGGAAATATGGGAGTTTTGCAACAGAACTCAGACCTTGCGACACTTCCTATGGCAAAGACGGATGTGTTATGATGTGTTGCCGCGGCTTGACTTCCTGCTTCGCATTTGTGTTCAGCGGCCTTTTCCGCGCTTGGCCTTTTTCTACGGGGGGCCGCATACCTCGAGCAAGCCGAGGAATGACAAAGAGCTCGAAAAAGATTGGCCTCGCGCTCAGCGGGTGGGCGGCATGCAGACTGCTTCTCCGCGTCTTGAAACTGGAGCCTCTTCTTGTAGGCGCAACAATGCTGCATTGCTTCTTCCACACAGACAAGTGGGCGATAGTAAATGTGGGCAGCACCTTGCCAAGAATCTCCAATGGATACTGGCAAACTGATGCAGGAGCCCAGCCATGCATGGTTTGCCGAGACCTTCTCCCATCTCCCAAGCACCCGAAAGAGCAAAAGGTGACAGGGGATTGACCGTTTCATTGGGGAATTTGGGCCAGCTGCCCACCTCAACAGTCCATGAGGCTCTAGAAAGGAGTTTGAATGGACACCAACTCGGTCCTCTTTGACGAGAAGGCAAAGAAAACAGCTCCAGATTCAGATCCAAGAAGCCTTCACACTCCGCGAAGTGTGCAAAATCTGTATTTCAGACAAGTGTGTCTTCATATGTTTAAGGCTCGTGCTGCTTGATAAAACAAATGTGTTGTTTGGCGACCTTCTTTTGAGGGCAACTCCAGAACCACGTGTTTGTTGCAACAAAAGGATGTTTGAAGGAAAAACCCTGCAGCAATGTCAGAGACCGGCGGATCTGGTTTCACACTTTTGGAGTCCATGTATTGGGAGCCTTGTTTTTGATAGATGTGCACTTCTCTTTTACAGGTTGCTAGCTTGGATCCTCAAACATCATGTGTTGCATATGTCTGGGTTTGGCACCATCTTACATATTTTTTTTGCCCTATAGCAAGCAGCATGCCTTGACCTCAGACCTTGTCCGAAGAGGCGCTTGCACAATCGGGGGCATATGTTCGCGTGCCTTTTGAGGGATTTTGCTTCACTGGGCTCAAGAGAGGCCAGTTGGAAAGCCACCATGTTGGGATCCCCGGTTTTTGCATATCCCCAGTGGCTCACAAACTCCATAGCTCCAAAGGCGCTACGGCACTTGTAGCCCTGTCGTTGGCCTGCGTGCTGAACAAACACGGCGCCTCCAAGAGGACGCCCCGCATAGTGTATACATGTTGACTGGGGAGAAAGGCCGCCCAACCCCCCAGAAGGGGTTCTTGGAAACTTCGGCGAATGCTCTTCTTCGAAAGAACCTTTCTGGCCAGGTAGCTCTCCTGAAAAATCAAAAGCATAAACCCCTACAGGTGAATCAGCACTGGCTGTCAGTTATCATCAGGGATCATCCTGACAGAAACCCCAGGAAACACTACCTCTTCATTGACCCATTTGAGACGAGGCAGGGTAGCAACACGACTTGTTCATCAGAATCCTCACCCCTGAACTGGGATGATCAACCGCTGTGGGGAGGTCGAATTGCGGAAGCCAATGCGCGCGCGCGTTGTGTATTGGCAACAATCAGATCCTGCCCTCCAGTGTCAGAAGGTGGCACCTGTTCCTCCCCGGCCTTCCTAAATTGCAACCCTTTTCAATAAGCAGTGCATCATGGTGACAACTCCCTTAGCCTTAGATTGCCTAACGTATCACATCTTTAGAGGCATGGTGAATAGTCAACCGGATTGCAAGGAGCGCTTCGTCTTTGGCAGCTAAGAGGCTTTATACACATGCCATGGCGTGTGCTCGGCTGAATGTGTGCCCTAGGAGTTTGCCAAGCATCCCTCAGCGCGAGGGGCCTCGAGGGTTGAGGGTGATGACCAGTCCTTGACTTGTGCATTGTTTCAAGGACTGTACCTTTGAGGGTTTGCCCTTGAGGTGACCTAATCAATAAGGGGACTTCCCCCCAGCCCCCCCCCCCCACCGCCAAACAAAGTCAAGGGGCCCTTTTGAGAAAACCGGCGCAACATTTGGGGGTCAGATTGTTTGGGCTTGATGATCGCCTTCTCAGTTAGGTACCCCTTTTCCGTTTTATAGGATTTGAGATCCTAGGAAATTTGATGGCTGAGCACTTTTTGTATAAAGGATATGTAAGGAAATCGGCAGTTTGCGCGTGCTGTTTGCAGAGATCTGTTGACTCAGAAGCAAGGGCTGGTGCGCGTCCCCCTTTTCTTTGATTTTATTGTTGAGCGTTTGTGGTGGCACTGTGCTGTTTCTGGGACAGTTGTCGGCTGAGCATTTTTCAAGGAAATTGGCAGTTTGGGGGACGTGTCTTGTTTCCGAAAATGAAGAATCGGGAGAGAGACGTGTTTGTTCCGGAAGAAGTCCCGGATTTGTGTCCGACAAAACAGATTTATGTTTTAGGCACCCTTTCCTTCTTGGGTGTCGGGAATAATGTTTGCAAACCTTTTTTTTTAATGACAAACTTCGTTCAATACCAATCAAATGCTTCCCCTATAGTGCTACATGAATGCCACGCAAGGCTTCTGAAACCAGAATCTCCAAAATGGGGACGCAGAGCCCAAAGAGTTCTGTCAACGCGCTTATGGTCGAGGACCCCAAACGCCCCTTTTCCCCTCCCTTCTTGCCAGCCGCGTAATTTTCGTACGAAATGCGGACCAATGAGAAAAAATGACTCCTGGTTTCTACTTGTTGTTGGTGTTCGGATGTTTTGCCGAACTAATTACTACGGAGAATGACGCTTGGCAAGCTCT